AAAGAGGGGATAGCTACAAGGAAAAAGCACTCGCGTCGATCGGACAGGGTAAGAGGCGAAGAATTTGTCAAAAATGTCAAGGAGAAGATTGATGGAAACCCTGGGAAGAGCATGAGGGCCATAGCCAAGGAAATGGACGTTGGCTCTATGACAATTGTCAGAACTATCCATGAGGACCTTGGTCTCAAGTCTTATGCCCTTCGGAAAGGTCAGTTGCTGACTGAGAATATGAAGAATAACAGAAAAGGAAAGGCTGCTGCCCTCCTCAACAACCTGAAACACGACTCTTTTGGCATGCTAAGGTTCTTCTCTGACGAAAAGAACTTTGACGTGGACCAAAAGGTAAATCCCAGGAATGATCGCTGGATCTGTAAAGACCCCTCAGAGATACCTGTCGTGATGCACACGAAATTTCCTGCCTCCGTAATGGTCCTTGGCGTTATCAGCAGTGAAGGTGATGTCATGCCTCCCCATTTCTTTGAGAAGGGCCTTAGGATGAACGCTGACACCTACATCAATGTTCTGGAGACCGTTGTGAAGCCTTGGATGGACATGGTGGCCGCAGGAAGGAAGTATGTCTTCCAACAGGACTCAGCTCCAGCCCATAAGGCAAAAAAGACACAATCGTGGCTGACACTTAACGTCCCTAGTCACTGGGGTCCTGATATTTGGCCCCCTAATTCTCCAGATTGCAATCCCCTCGACTACTATGTATGGGGCGTTGTTGAGAGAGATGTCAACAAAGCTCCTCATACCACCATCCAGTCTGTCAAGAAAGCAGTTCACACGGTGATGACCCAAATGGACAAGGTCATCGTCGCCAAGGCCTGTGCTTCATTCCGCACTCGCCTCGAGACTGTTGTAGCTAATAATGGAAACTACATTGAATAAATAAAAACTATATCCTTTTATCTACTACTGTGTCAAATTTCATTCGGATATTTTAATTTTTACTTGCAAAAAATTTCAGTTAAAATACCATTGTTGAAATTCCCAATTTACCTGGTACACCCTGATGGATAGACAATACATTCATATTGTCAAGAATATTGTCCCTGTCGCTATTCAGTAATGGTCCTGTCCAGAACCAGGTTGCCATAGTCCTCTATCCAAATCAGCTGCACGCTGACTTTAAGGAATCTGTTCATACTCCATGGAGGAGCATCATCCCACAGTATTCCTATTAAAAATTCCCTATGTAAAACTCCATGTGCATCCTTGATAGCTATCTTCACAGCGCTCCAACTACCGAGTCAGATCATTAAAAAGTATTTTCTTTCTTAATTCATATCTCGATGCCTAAAACAGCGTATCAAAATTTGAACGTGATATAAATGTTTCATTCAAATTTTGTAGCTTCACAAATAGAATTAATATTTATATTCTTATAATCCTGATACAATCAAACCTTCATGAGCGGGATCACTCGCTGGAGTACACCACTAAACAAAGGATAATTTTCTTCGCCAAAATTTCAATTTCTACCAATTAGCTTCTCTCCGATGAGAGGCCATCTCTTTTTAAAGGTATTTGGGTCAGTGATTAGATGTTTTTAGAGAGAGGTTCTACTATATTTAAAGCCACATTTCAAATAGTTTTGATTTCTCTAGAGCCAAAGACCATCATCGTACTCAGCCGGGTCCATATTCAAACTGCGTCAAACCCCACACTAAGGGAATTTTTTCTTTTGTTTTAAATAATGGTCCTTGAGATCCTGAGGGGAGGGAGGGGCGAACATCCATGGGCGCATAGAGAACGGACCTTCACTATAAATCGTGAGTACTGCGTTGAGTTCGGGGTGATGTTAAATCTCTGTGCCGAATAAAAAACACAAATTAAAGAAAAAAAAACACAAATAAACCAAACAGTAATTCTTCCCACTTATACACAAATGTATACAGTAGAACCCTTTAGAAAAGCAACATGGTTATTATATCCAAATTCTAAAGAGTCAAGTTTTAAGTATAAATTACCTTATAATCCCGTAGTTATAACAATACATGATGATAACAACTATTCCAAGTGTTGTTGTTATAATGAGGTTTGATTCTGTTACTAAATCCCACCTGCAACAAAAAATAATAATAATGGGTGGGCCACATGGTCTCTCCATATCTCCCTCCTTCAATGCCTTCCTCTACTGAGGGTGGGCCACATGGTCTCTCCATATCTCCCTCCTTCAATGCCTTCCTCTACTGAGGGTGGGCCACATGGTCTCTCCATATCTTCCTCCTTCAATGCCTTCCTCTACTGAGAGTGGGCCACATGGTCTCTCCATATCTCCCTCCTTCAATGCCTTCCTCTACTGAGGGTGGGCCACATGGTCTCTCCATATCTCCCTCCTTCAATGCCTTCCTCTACTGAGGGTGGGCCACATGGTCTCTCCATATCTCCCTCCTTCAATGCCTTCCTCTACTAAGGGTGGGCCACATGGTCTCTCCATATCTCCCTCCTTCAATGCCTTCCTCTACTGAGGGTGGGCCACATGGTCTCTCCATACCTCCCTCCTTCAATGCCTTCCTCTACTGAGGGTGGGCCACATGGTCTCTCCATATCTCCCACCTTCAATACCTTCCTTTACTGAGGGTGGGCCACATGGTCTCTCCATATCTCCCACCTTCAATGCCTTCCTTTATTGAGGGTGGGCCACATGGTCTCTCCATATCTCCCTCCTTCAATGCCTTCCTCTACTGAGGGTGGGCCACATGGTCTCTCCATATCTCCCTCCTTCAATGCCTTCCTCTACTGAAGGTGGGCCACATGGTCTTTCCATATCTCCCACCTTCAATGCCTTCCTCTACTGAGGGTGGGCCACATGGTCTCTCCATATCTCCCTCCTTCAATGCCTTCCTCTACTGAGGGTGGGCCACGTGGTCTCTCCATATCTCCCTCCTTCAATGCCTTCCTCTACTGAGGGTGGGCCACATGGTCTCTCCATATCTCTCTCCTTCAATTCCTTCCTCTACTGAGAATGGGCCACATGGTCTCTCCATATCTCCCTCCTTGAATTCCTTCCTCTACTGAGAGTGGGCCACAAGGTCTCTCCATACTTCCTCCGCCATCCTCTTCATCTCTTCATAGGTGTGTCGTCCAGTCCATTGTTTTAAATCGTCTGTGTATCCCTGTCGTCTCCTTCCCCTCGATCTCTTTCTCCGGAATTTTCCCTCCAACACTTTCAGCAATGTTTCTCCTGCTGATACGCGCATCACATGTCCAGCAAACGTCAGTTTCCGTTGTTTTATGAACTTTATCATCTGGCATTCTGTACCCATTCAATATTATTATCATTACTTATCATTTATTATTAAATATATATATTCATATTCTCACAATATAAGGTTCAAAATTATATACCAATTAAATATTCTAATAAGTTATAACCATCTGTGTGTGGTATTTGTTTTGTTTTTTCACATAAAGAGAAACTCAAGCAATAAAACCTAATACCTTAGTTCCAAGAAAGAATTTCAATTCTTTGAGGTTTAATTTCATGGCAACTGACCCTCTACGAAGTTTCAATTCCATGAATGTCTTCTATGTAAATTTTGAAACTTAATCATGTTCCTGTCCAGTCCTTAGCAATGTCACAATGTCTCAATACCAAATCCTACTATCGCTGAAAACGTAAAACTACTAGAAATGTATATCGACCTAATCTTCAAACATTTTATGGTAATTTTTAATATGAGATTCTATTTTCAATTTCATTCCCCATTTCTTAATGTTTTCTTATTGAATTCATTTAACCTTTTCTTAGCCAGTTAATAAGGTAGGTAGAGGTTGAGATTGAAACTACTTTATTTCAATGTTCATATAAGATTATATATGGTTAATTACAAAATGTAGTAAATACGAATATATAAGATTATATAACGATAAATATAGGAATAAATAGATATAAATAGATGAGAATAATGGATAAATATATATATACCTATATATAAAAATATATACAAGGTCTTCATTGGTGGCGCCCACTACGGGATAGACTCTGCCACCGATGGACTGCGAGAGTTCTTTCCCACAGAATGGGCAGGTCGATGTGATGGCTGGCTTTACCAAGACCAAGATGGACAAAGCAGGTAACTAATTTATTTTTCGAGTGTCGCAATGACTTCTACTCTATATTGTAACGTAGAAAACTAGGAAAGACAAACTTCAGGCTGACACAGCAATTTATTTAAGGTAAGCACAAACTAAAATTGATAAAATATAACAGAAGCACAATGAGGGAAGTTTACGCAGAATAATAAAATATATCAAAAAATTAATAATCTGTTTTAAAAATATTAAATACTTTACTACATAGCTCTTTGCCTATTATAGATGTGACCCATAGCTTACAAATATATTGTAGATACTGACATGGATCTGACGTGCTTCTGACAAGGATTCCCTTTTATTCTTAGAACTCTGTCCCTTGTAGTTTTACGTCCTTTCTCTTGCGGCGTGAAGAGCGGCCTTGTCGCCATATTGTCTATAGGGACATCGTCATCTTGGAAGTTTTGGCTTTGACACGGCGGTGGAATCATGGAGCTACTAACTGAAAATGTAGATCACAGCACCCATAGCTTCAAGGTCTTCTCGCCGATCTTCAGTTTGTCTTCCCTAATCTACCCAGCATCTCCACCAAATGTAACGTAGAAAATTAGGAAAGCCAAACTTATGGATGGCACAGCAATTTATTTAAAGCACAATCACAAACTAAAATTGATTTTTAAAAAATACAATGGAAGCGCAATGAGGGAAGTTTGCGCAGAGTAATAAAATATATGATGCACTAGCGCGCCACCTGTTATCAAAATTAGAAACTATTTTAAACGCGTAAGATTCTTTTTGAAATTAAACTCCTTTAATTTTTCCATTGCAGTAAGGGCAGTAGAAATTGTTTAATTTCAAAAAGAATCTTACGCGTTTAAAATAGTTTCGAATTTTAATAAAATATATAAAAATTAATAATCTACTTATATATTTGCCTTATTCTGTCTGTTTGTTTGTCTGAAGCTCACGGATGGGATGAATGCTCGCCTGCCACGCGGGCGGCCCGGGTTCGATTCCCGGCCGATGCATTTTTTTTTTTTTTACAATTTTTAAAACTCATTTATATATTATACAAGAATGACATCCACGGCGCCAATTTATAATTGTAACGAATAGTATTTGAATAAAAGCATTTAATCGGGTAAAACCCGGGCGTTGCCCGGGTCATTCGTATCTACTTATATATTTGCCTTATTCTGTCTGTTTGTTTGTCTGAAGCTCACGGATGGAAATTTTCATAACCATCGGTGGTTCAGTGGTAGAATGCTCGCCTGCCACGCGGGCGGCCCGGGTTCGATTCCCGGCCGATGCATTTTTTTTTACAATTTTTAAAACTCATTTATATATTATACAAGAATGACATCCACGGCGCCAATTTATAATTGTAACGAATAGTATTTGAATAAAAGAATTTAATCGGGTAAAACCCGGGCGTTGCCCGGGTCATTCGTATATAATAATTGTATAAACGAATGCAAGACAAAATCACCGCGAATGTTTCTTTTTTTTTAAGGCAATTTCTTTTTAAGGCAATTATCGTTATTTATCGTTAATTTTTGTTTCGATTTTATTGAAAAAAAACGATATGGTGCCTTTAAAAAATGATCTTTATTACTATGCAGTTTTCTATTTAGTCAATATACCTAAGTTCATGTTGCAAATGTAATTATCTCTATCGATTTAGTAGGTGAAATGCAAAAAAAAAAATCGACATGATGAAATCTTTATGAAAATTCACATTTTTATTTTTATATTTTCAAGACACACACAGTTTGGGGCGGGACGTTTCACAAGAGAGACATCCACGGCGACAATTTATAATTGTAACGAAAAGTATTTTAATTAAAACATTTTAAAAACACACAGTTTGGAACGGGACGTTTCACAAGAGTGACATCCATGGCGCCAATTTATAATTGTAACGAATAGTATTTGAATTAAAACGTTTTTAAAATATATACGCACTCGGGTAAAACCCGGGCGTTGCCCGGGCCATTCGTCTAGTCTGTTAATAAAATAATAAATACTTTGCAACAATATAAAAACACGTCATTGACTGAATCTTATCATTTTATTTCATCACGAGATGCAGAGAATCAAAATTCGAATAAGAACGAGGAGAAAGAAAATGCTCTTTCAATTACTTTAACATTTGTTATTTATCTTTAACTTGACTATGCTCAAGACATTTCTTCTTGCTTAAGAGAAGAACATTTTAAGAAGTCTGCTATAGACGTGTTTGTGATATATTGAACTTGATGGAGCCCATTCTGCAGGTGAATGCTCACTGCTGCATCGAAGAGAGGCTGGTTTTGAGGTTTGCTATGCCCTGTTGAGATTTAAGAGAAATGCAGAGGCTGAGAAAGTACTAACAAGTTCAGTGTCTTCAATGTAATATTGAAGACAGTGAAACGCAATGGCTGAAGGTTAAGGTAATTTTATTATAAATCTCTGTGTTAGCTATAGAACTGAGGAAGTGATCGACTCATATGACTCCAATCTTTCTTCTGAATCAAGGTTGAATAACCAATTTACTTCATCTGAGAGAATATTTGACTTGAATACGGATTGTAAAAGGAGAAAGGAGTTTTTAAGTGTAGTCAGAATGAGACTGGATGAGAAAGATTTCTGCTTCAGAGAAGAAGGAGCAGATTTGACTTTTAAATAGAAAGAGTAGATATAATATCATTGTGGACTTTTGAAGCGATGGTGAGATCGAAGGGTGATATTGGAATGAATTGATAAGAAATTTGTAATGCCTGTAGAGGCAGAGTGAAAATAAAACAATGTGTTCCTAGCGTAGAGGGATTTAAGAATAACTTGTTGTTATCTAGGCCAAACACTGTGGAGATCACTGAATGAGTAATGGTAGACGTATTTCTAGTATTTATGGCCCAACCTAAATCCTTCTGAGTACCCAGTTCAGAGAGATAAGCTAATAAAGCTCGGTATAAGTCCCCTAATGAACTGTAGCCGTGTTAGCAGAAGAATGATATATGGGTAAAAGGTAGAGAAGAATGGTTATTTTAAGGAGTATTGGCATCATAATAAGGTCGAGAAAGGAAGTGGGAAGTTTAGAGAAAAGGGCGCTTACAAGCTCGAGTTGGGTCTTGAAGTCTGTGATGCCTATAGTTGAAGAAGTAGCTGGTACCCAGATGTTCCAGAACAAGGCATGGAAATAGAATTGGGTGTGCTTGAAGGTCTTTGAAGGGCCTGTGCCTGATTATGATCAAGAAACAAGATGAGTTTTATTGCCTTGATTAGTGTGAATATCACTATGCAGAAGTGAAGAAAACATTGTAACAAGCAGTCCTATAAAATGGTTGATGCAATTTCTTGTCTAGCTTGTCTCTTAACAGCGTGGATGAACACGTAAAGATCTTCAAGCTGATATTTATTCTTTCCCAATAGCTGTCAGCTATGCCTAGAATGGATGAAGGTCACAGGTGCAGAGGGAACAGGTATCAGGATGTGGGGAAAGAGGAACGCTAGATACGATAGGCCATTTTAACCACAAACAACTCATTATTATCGGTCATTATCCATTCTTTGCTTCAACCCACTCCTTGTTTTTTTTATAACTGTCCATTTTTCAGTACAGTACAGTATTTTAACTTCTATTTTTAGTTTGTTTTATTCAAAATGAAAATATATTTTAAAATAAAATGAACTAATTGATAAAAATGGTTACAGTTACTTTTGGCTACTTTTCTTCAAATGTATCTAAACGTTGTTGCCAGATCACTCTCTTTAAGTAGCTTGTATCTTTCACTACTCTCTTATCTTAACCTAGGCATTGTTGTGCTGAAGATACTATAACACTTTACATATAAAATTACACAACTGTCACTGTATTCCATCTACATAAAAAATATGCCTTACTCTCTGATCTGTATGAGCTCAACTAGACTCCTAGCTACCAACAGCCAACTTAGTCTATTCTACTCTCTAGTCCCTCCAAGCCACCCTTCCTTTTATCTCACAAACTTCATTCTACCCTTCAAGGCTTCCAACTAACACTTCTTATCTCAAAATCCAAACTCCACTTTCATCACTTTGTATCAAAACCCTACTTCACTTAATTCTAATATTCCTCGCACCTCCTTCACCATCCTTTTCATCACTGTACTTTTTTTATCAGTTATTGACTTTTCCTAAGAACACCAATGTTTGCCTATTTCATCTAGCAACATGATTTTTGAAGGGCGCGAAATGTAAAAAATAAAAACATTATTTGAAAAATAAAAATCAATTTAAAAACTTATTAAAACACACTATCTTTTTGAAACTTTTGTGTGTGTGAGGGATCTATAAACAGAAAATAATTTGTTCTTTGCTACCCAGGAACATTAGAATTTTTATGACTAAAATAAAAATGTGGGATCCTCTGTAGGAGATTGGAGATTTTAAAGATGTTTTTTTTTTTCAAATTTGGCCGAAATGCATAATTAAAAGGTACTAATATACACTCGTGGAAAAAACTTAATGAAGTGAAAAGTCTAAAGATGCCAATGGCATTCTTTTGTTTGAGAGGACAGAGGCAATTTTGTTCACACTTGGTTATATCTCGTGTGTCTTCAATAAAGATCACTATGTATCAAATATCTTCCAGAGTTATTGTGCCTGAATCCCAATTTTCATGCTAAAAGGTACAACTTTATTTTTGTTCATAAATATAAATATTGTGGCAAAATAATTATTTTATGTATAAAAATAGATTATTAATTTTGATATTTATATTTTGATACTTTGTAACCTTCTCTCATTGCCTCTCTGGTATTTTACAAATTTTGATTTGTTCTTGCCTTAAATTTCCCTGTCAATCTGAGGTTTGTCTCTTTTATAATTTCCTATGCTATATTTTGGTGGAGATGTTGGGTAGATTAGGGAAGACAAACAGATTTCCCAGCAGACCTTGAGGCCATGGGTGGTGCAGTCAAATACATTTTCCGCGACTGACTACGAGATTCCAGCGTCATGTCAAAGTGAATACTTCCTTCCAAGATGACTATGTTCCTCTTGATGATATGAGGACAAACCACTCTTCATGCCGCAAGTAAAAGGACGCAAAGCTACTAGGAACAAATTTTCAAGAGTCAAAAGTAATCTTTGACAGAAACACGTCAGATTTTCAAACTATGAGTCACAGCTCCCATAAGGAAGGAGCTATGTAGCGAAATATTTATTATTTTATGAATAGATTATTAATTTTGATATTCATATTTTGCTATTTTGTCAACTTGCCTCATTGCCTCTCTGATATTTAAAAATTTTAATTTGTTCTTGCCATAGAGAGAGAGAGAGTTTTATGATTTAACTTTATTATGTTAATTAGTACTTGCATATATGCATCTCTCATATTTCCTACTTCTTTGTATGCATATAAATGGAATTGTTATCCTAAGAGCTGTTACCCCTAGAGCTTGTATTGTCGTGATAAAAAATAAATAAACTTTTGTTGACTTTGCTTAGAATTATTAATGAAACTGATAACAATAATTATTAATTAAACATTATATTTATTGATTTACAAGAGAGAGAACAAAATATAAAAGGGAAACTAATATTGAACAAAGGAACTTTTTTTCTGTTTCGGTTAGCGCCTATTTACCTGTGAGCTTACACACACTCTGTGGAACAATTAATTAATATATATACATCATACGCTCCCCTGTGTGTAAGTCCTAATCAGCAAGTCCAAGGCTTTCTGCACATTTCCGTAGTTTGTCCTTATAGTCCACACCATATCTTTGATTGCATCCAACAGCAACCAGTCTGACCTTTCTTTTATATATGCCGTCATTTGATGTTTTCTTCTTACTGTAGACCCATTTACTATTGATGACTTTCATGCCATTTTCCCTTGGTACTAGTGTCCATACTTTATGTTTCTCTATCTCACTGAGCTCTTTTTCCATTGCTTTGTGCCATTCATTTCTTTCTCCACTATCCATTGCTTCTTTAAAGTTCTCCGGGATATAATGATCTATTTCCATAATTAAGATTGCATCATTCCTCTCCTTTATTC